CCTCGCGCCCTCCCCGGGCCGGCTGCTCGACGGCGACCGAGCGGAGCGCGGCCGCAGGCCTCTGCGTCCTCAACACCTCCTGACACGAGCTCAGGAGCACACGGTCCCCTCTCCGCCACCACGCCCTTTTGCATAAGGACTTGAGCATTCTGGGCTTTGGGGTCTGCAGGGGCCCTGGAGCCAGTCCCCAGGGACGCCGAGCACACCCGCCACCGCGGTCGCGCCCGCAGCTCCTCCAGGCCCTGCGCTCCTGCTGCGGTGCTTCCGTTCATTTGTTCTATTGTAAAATGCGCAGAACGTAAGATTTACCATTTAATGGAACTTCTTGTGCATGTGGTGCCCCTGATTCTCTCATGTATGTGGGGTTCCCATTCATATGTATGTATTAAATTTGGTTATTTTCTCTTAATAAAAAATAAATAAGACTTCCCATGTAATGAAATTTACTGCGTTCACAACGTGACCATCACCACTGTCTGGCTCCAGAACTTTTTCATCACCCCCAAAAGGACACCTACACATCAAGCAGCCCCCTCCTCCCCCAAGTCCCCTGCAATCTGCTTTTATGGGTTTGCCTCGACTGGGTATTTCATATAAATGGGAACCTACAATATTGTAGCCTTTTGTGTTTGGCTTTTTTCACTCAGCATGTTTTCGAGGTTCATCCATGTAGTCGCTCCTTTTTATGGCTGAATAATAATATTCCATCATATGGATCTATCACCTTTTGTTTATCCATTCATTCATTGATGGACGTTTGGGCTGTTTCCACTTTTTGGCTCTTACAGATAATGCTGCTATGAACATATATGTACAATTTTTTGTTAATTTTCACCCAAGGATATTTTTTCCATTTTTAGAGAGACTGGAAGGGAAGGAGGGAATGGGAGAGAGAGAAACATCGATGTGACAGAGACACATCGATTGGTTGCCTCCCACACTCGCCCCACCTGGGGCTGGGGATCAAACCTGTAACCCAGGTACATGCCCTTGACCGGGATCGAAACCAAGACCCTCAGGTGCAAGAGCTGACACTCCAACCACAGAGACACCCGGGCCGGGGCTGGTTTGGTTGTTTTGTTTCATTTTTCCTCCCACTGTTATCAATTCTTTGGGGTAATATACCCAGGAATGGAATTGCTAGGTCATATGACATATTAGCCAAGGTTCTCTATAGAAAGAGACGTACTTCAAGGAATTGGCTCACATGACTGTGGCAGTTTGCTGAGTCTAAAATCTGATAGGGGTGGTGAGTCGGCTGGGGACACTGGAAAGAGTGGCTGCCGACAAGCCCAAAGGCAGAACCAGGAAGAGCTGATTTGGAGATGAGTCCAAAGGTGTCTGCGGGCCTGGCTGGGAAGCTCAGCTGCTCAGAGCATTGTCTGGACGCACCAAGGTTTGGGGTTTGGTCCCCGGTCAGGGCACATACAAGAAGCAACCAATGATGCATCAACAAGTGGAGCCACAGATCGATGTCTCTCTCTCTGAAATCAATAAAAAACAATCAAACAAAAAGATGGTCTCAGTTTCCCTTGGCTGTCCCAGCACCCCACTACCCAACCCTGGAGTCCCACTGCACCCCTCACAGCTCTGCTGTGATAACTGGCTTTAACTACAGTGCCCCTGGGTCCTGCAGGACCATCGCCAGAGGACTCCACCCTGCCCCTGGGTCTCTGAAAATTTCAGGCCCCACCTTCATGCTCCTTGGGTCCCCAACAGTATCCTGAGACCCAGCAATAAAGTCTTTAAAAGCCTCCACTAATGTCCCTGGACTAATTGGTTCCCCCATCCCTGGGATCCTTCTGAATGAGTTCTGAGTCCTCACAGAACCAGCGACTGCCACCAAAGGGCCCTCAGCCCCAGGGCCCTCCCCCTACCACCTTCAGTTTCTGTTGTGAAACTGAGCAGGCTCCCCAAACCAACCCCTGGGTTCTCTCTATTATTGAACCTTCCCACAAATGATGGATGGACAGACA